CTCTGTTTTGCACTACCAGGCAGTACCCTTAGTATGAACACCTGTGGGAGAGAGGGAAGGAAACAGGACCGGGAAAGAGAAATCTCGGTGTAATACAGGTCCCATAGCCTCGCCCATGCCATGGGAAGCTCGAGTGCAGATGGCCCATACGAGTTGTACTGTGTTGGGCTGAGACAGCTGAGCCTTTATATTCCCTCCACCAGGCATTGCTGTGCACCACTCTCCCCCTCGCTGGGCACGACCTCAGGCAAAGTGGCTCTCTGCAGCTGGGGCAATCCGAGACGTGACTGACAGTGGAGGCTGTCCACTGACTGCCCTCCCAGCGGCAGGTGCAGCAGATTCTTCCTTTAAGGGTGCCTAGGTAGCATGCACCTTCACTCTTCAACACAGGGGGCTCTGTGCAGCATTCGGAAAAGAACATCGACAAATTACAGATGCCTGAATAAAAGTGAGGTCTTTAAGGACAAAAGCAGGATCGTGACACTGAGTAAGAATAAGCCATGGGAACAGGAAAAAAGAACTACAGACGAATGATGGAAAGCTTTCTCATTCTTAATCCCCCACATTTTTGGAGAGGAGGAACTCTAGGACCTGGACACCCTTTATTTAATGAACATTGTGATGGGTTGGGGTTTGTAGTGGAGGTGTAACCTGGGAGAAATCTGGCGTATTCTGCATAGTAAGAGTCACCTAGGAAGGTGGGAATAGCAGCCAGTCACAGTTGATGCCAGTCAGAAGGGGCAAGGAGAATTGTTGCTAAGGATTTAGGGGAACAAAAATGGCTAACATCGTACCTTCGATGTGTTTTGCACTTTCTAAGTGCTTTGCATGTACTACCTGACTTAATCCTCACATTGTAGGAGAGAAGTTACCACGATTTCCTTCCATTTAGAGATGAGGAAACTGGGGCTGAGAGCAGTAATTTGCCAGCGTCATTCAGTGCGGAGCGGGGACTGGGACTTGCCCGCAGGGAAGAATGTAGACCATGGGCCTGTTCTCTTACCACCCTCTCCCCTCTGTCTCTGTGAAATTGCCAAGGCTTGGGATACAAATGCGCTCTATCTCAGGAATTCAAAGAGGTGTCATTTTGCATCAGGGCTGAGAGAGGGCACGAACAGAGGCTGTGTGGCATGCAGGGAGAGCTAACGCCCAGGTTGCATGTAGGTATTTTGCAAAAAGATGCACTGTGAACCAATACTGCCGGCCTTTAGTTCCAAAAGCATGATGTCAGCATGACGCAAACATGAGTCAGCAGATAGGACTGCATGATGACTGTCTCTCTCTACTTGGATGTCTTCACACCCTCCGTGTGGGCAATGCTGGATGCCACAACGCTGAGCAAGGAGGAAAGAAGAGGGTTTAAGAGAGAGCCACAAATGAGAACCCACAGGTCAGAAATGTACTCCAGCCTACGTAGAGACCAGAGAGATTGGGGGGGGGGGGAAAGACCATATATGGGGATCTTGAGGTTATATTCACGGTGGTCAGAATAGATACTTTAAAGCCAGGTTGCCTGGGCTGGCATCTCTGCTTCACCACTTGCTCCGTGGGTATTCTTGAATGTCACTTTCTACCTTTCTGTGCTTCAGTCTCCTATTAAACTGGGGTAACGGAGCCACTTCACTGGGTTACTGCGAGAATTCAATCAGTTAATACTTGTGAAGCACTTGGAACAGCTTTAGTAAGTACTCAGTAAATAACAAAATATGGACAAGGGTGAAGGACAACTCAATACTTATTCAACTATGAAGATCTTTATATAGCTCGTTTCCATCTTCATTGTACAAAAAATAAGAGGGAGTCCATTTAAACTACGAGACACTGAGAAGAGATTTAAACATTTTGCCCATCAAGAAGCGCACATACCGACTGTGGGTGAAAGTTGTCTATCGAGGGCAGCAGAGCACTGACCAGATTCTCTTCTTGACTTAGCCTAAGAATGGTGCCAAGTGTGGGAAAACACTCAAACATTAGGTTTGAAGCAGGCCGACATGATTGCCTATCATGCCTCACTTGTCCAAGACACAGACTGAAAACTAAAGAAAGCTCTGTTCTTTTGAGGATCTTACCAACAAATAGTAGCCATTATTATCAAGATAGTTCCTGGAGAGGTTTTTTTTAAGATTTTATTTATATTTTTGAAAAAAAAATCATTTTTTAGAGAGAAGGGAAGGGAGAGAGAGGGAGAGAAACATCAATGTGTGGTTGCCTCTCGTGCGCCCCCTACTGGGACCTGGTCCACAACCCAGGCATGGGCCCTGACTGGGAATTGAGCTGGTGACCCTTTGGTTTGCAGGCTGACATTCAATCCACTGAGCCACACCAGCCAAGGCAAGACAGTACCTGGAGTTGTGATAACTATTTCCCTTTTTCAGCATAGAAAACACAGAAGCAGTGGGAAGAAATCAGAATACAAATTTATCTAGACAGAGCCATGACCAGGACCCAAATTTTAAAACATTAATATTATTCCCATTACCTTTAATTTCCTTTCATTGATTAAAAAAAATGAATTAACTAGTGTAGCATCACATTGTATACTTCTCTATATGTTTGGAGATGTATTCAGTTGTTCTTTAACTATCTCTGCTTATTTACTCTCTGGTCTGATCTCAGCAAACTGCCATTCCACCCCTGGTCCCTGTTAAAGGGGTCACCTAGCCAAGTATGTATGGTTTTTTTTTCCAGGGATCATCCAATCAGATTCATATCCACAGTGTGTTCAAGTCACAAAGGGGAAGTGGCTAGGGGGTGGCGAACCCTAAGAAGAGAGAGAAGGAATGGCTGCTGAGGTCTCCACCTGGAGCAGGCTTCCAGTTCCTGTCTTTGCCTGTCTTGGGGTCTGAGACATACAGCCTTACAATCCCACCCCAGTCTTCCCTTTCTCTTTTGCTGGTTCGCAGGGCTTTTATTTGTATATTCAGACAATCCTTGACTAAATGCATGACTATCTCTACTTCAAACTGCTGAAAGTCTACATAAAAACACAGAGAAGAATTTAGTCTACCACTGTGTGCTTAGTATTTTTGGGAGAGAAGATACTTGAGAAATAGAAAGATGTTTAGTAATACAGCATTTTGAAGAGTCCCCTGTGAAGTATTCTAATAGTTTCTCCGTTACCACATTTAACTACCAAACCTTATAATTCCACTTCTCAGATATCTTACTCATCTTCCCTCCACACCACCTCTTTATCTTAACTACACTATGGGAAGATGTAAGGAAACCCTTTCGTTTATTTAAGAAAATTCAAATTCAAATTTCACTGTGGAGAAAACTCAGGGCCTCCCAGTTCTGTCTCTTAACCTTCCCCTTCCCCTTGGGGGCCTCTCACTTAGGATCCTCTCACTTGCTTTGCTGGAGGACTCGTTTCCTTGCGCCTCGAGGATTGATCTTAAATTACGCGAAGCAACTCTGACTCCAGGACGAAAGTCACAAAAGCTTTAGGGAAAGGTTTAGGAATAACAGGAAAAACAGCAAGTAAAACACCGTGAGAGCTACAAATGACCTACTCCAGCTCCCTAGGTAGGGTGTGCAATTTGTATTCAAGAAACACGTGAGCACTCGGTGGGACTGTCAGTGTGCGTGTCTCAGCGACACTCCTGCCCTCGAGAGGCGTAAGGACGTGGGAGTGAGCTGCCTGCATTCCGTGGTGATGCTGGGTGAGAGAGTGGAGACCAGGCAGCTAGACCAGTATCACGGGAGGGGGAAAGAGGGAAGGTTTCAGTGACATTGTCTAAAGAACAAAAGCCTTAAGACACATGAATTAGCAGAGCATGACATTGGGGAAAGGCAGCAGGCAGGAAATGAAGCACTCCAGGTTCCAAGTATGTGTGTTCAAAAGGGAGGAGTCCAATTTGTAGATGGTGAGGGGTTTCTCCTTTTTATGCTCAGGTGAGAGGCTGTATTTTTCCCGTCACGGAGAGGAGCCCACAAGCACGTGGGGACTCTTTTCTGAATCTAGGCCAAAGAGAGATCTCACTCAAGTTTCCTCTTCCCAGTCAATGACAGCGTGCTCACTTTGGTTTTCCAGACTCAGGGCTCATGTCTTCATTCCAGGAGGCTAATGACAGCAGAATTGTCATACCGTAAGACTTTGCTTTGCGGCCTTGGTGGGGGCAACAGGGCAGAACAGTCGGTTACCTCCATGCACTCGGTGAGAAACGCCTCCTTACCCGGCCAACACCAAGGCCACTTTCCGAAGACGCGAGATCACGGGGAAACGGGGTTTTCTCTCTAGCTCAGGCATGATCTATGCAAACCCTTTCTTCTATCGTCTCCTCGCAGAAAGAAAAGCAAGTTACTTCCATCTTTGTTTTGAGGATTGGTGGTTTACGAAACTTCTTTACGTACAAGGAAGTCATTAAAAGGGAACCGAATTAAGTTTTCTAGAAATTCATATGACCAGTAATGTACTGTGGGATTCCCTGGGCCAATATTGCCACCCAAAGTCACAGTGTGACTAATTTCTAGAGACCCTAGTCCCTATTTTCAAGCTGATGCCATTAAATTTTCCCTTGCAAAAGAGTGATAAACAGAAAATAGGATGTGTTAGGTAGCAATGATCTAAAACACAGATGTTCTTGAGAATGCATCCTCTACGGGGGCAAAATAGTATTTCTCTCCATCTGTATGAAGCACAAAAATAAACATGATCCCAGAACAGATATACAGCATATATGTGGTATGACTTTCATGGGGGCAGACGATTAGAAAAAATACACTGAAAAGAGCTCTTTAGGGAGGTGAGAATTAAAAATTTCAGAAACACTGCTATGGATTCTTTTGTTAAATCAGGAATACCTAAATTCATTCCATTTTAGTGACAATTCAAAATCCCTGGATAAAACAGAAAATCATGGTGCTCATACTTCTAACCAATGTACTTGTGAAGGGGTCCAATTCTGTGGCCTTTGTTTCTTCTGGCCAAGTGTAAAGAAAACTCTCAGATTAATTTTAAAAAGTTTATGAATCATTAAGTTTACAAAACATACAGAAAGTACAAACTAAGAAAAGTAAATTTATTTAAATTACTAAAATAGCTTTTAAAGTCATTTACAGATCAGCTGCTTAATTATTTTTCCTGAAAGGTAAGTAAAACTAATTACTTTAAAATTATTTTGGTCAGTGAAACATTTATTAAAAACATTTGTTTCTCCATATAATATATAGGTATAAAATAAGCCTTTCCAAAAACTATTTTCAAATCCTCTAGAAATCAGGTGATCTGACTTCTGACCGGAACAAACTATAGTAAGGGGTGTAAGTTTATGAATACAGGTGGTCCTAGCGGGAAGAAATTAGACCATACTCTACTGCCACAGTCATGAGATGCTCAGAAAGTAAATGGTGAAGCCAATGACTAGCTCTAGATTTCTAAAACAATGTGCATTTAAAGGGTTTGTTGATAATTAAAAAAAAATTATCAATGAAAAAAGGTGACTCTAGAATTTTAAGATTCTAAGAAAACCAAAGCAGTTGCTAGATGAGAAAGCTGTTACAGATGCAAAGTTACAACTGAAATTCCACAGCACAGCAATATACAACAGTACATTTTAACATTCTTCATACATGGTAAAGTTCACTTTCTTTTTTGGCTGAGGCACTCTTAATATATCAAGTGCATAGAAAAACCTTTACACAGTATTTGTTCAAGGGTGTCACTGAAGGGTTTAGATGGCAACACATGGACACATGGAAGATTAAATCCTTCAATAGCCCAGGAAAGCTGGTTAACAAACAGTTTACCAATTCCTGAAATTATATGCCTCCCCTACCTCCCTTCCCCAGAAACTACATGTCTTAATTCAAAACAGAGCTTCAAAACATATCCAAAATAAACTGCTTTGCGTTTATCTGCCCTTAACACTCAATGAACAAGCATGCTTAACCTTGTGAAATACATGCTTCGAAATCTTTGGGAGGCCCCAACATTTCTTAAAAGGTTAAAAAAGAACACGTGAAAAACAAATCCCAACAGAAGTCACTGAGAGTGGAGGTCAGATAACTGTGTTTGACTAATCTAAGTCTCCAAGGCTTATTTTAACATTTCATCTTAAAGACTTATTTTCCCCCCTTTCCTTCCCCATTCCACAAATTCTCTTTTCCTTTGCTTCCTTCTCCCCACCCTCCAAAAACAAAGGGGGAAAAAAAAACCCAGAACACACACTCAGATGACCTTTCATTCCTTTTGTTTCTATAAGCAGAAACTAAGGAACTCCCACCTAAATGACATAAAAGAAAGCAAAAATGGGAAAACCCCCAGTTGCATTTAGGGAACTGCCTTACAATAACTCAACGAACTGTATCAAGTCGATTAAAAACTGGTAGGATATGCAGGAAGAACTGTCTAGTCTTTCTTACTGGGCATACGATAGCAATGATGATTCAACCTAGAACCTAAATCAATCTTCTAAGAGACTGCATATAACTTAGAGTTCTCAAACACCAGTAATACAAATGTCAATGGAATTAGGGAAATGTTTCTTTCAAATGACAGGTAATAGATTGGATAAATGATTTAGATGTTCCATGTTTACATAAGAACTTAACTTCCTTTAAAAAGAAACTAGTTCTTTTAAGAAGAGCTCTGAATTCTGTCTCCAGTTAAAAAGTCTGAAAAACTCCCAGGACTTGAGACACGATCTCTCCTCTGTCACCGTTAAAAGCAGATGCCCCTTCTCAGGTCATTTTCAGGTTGTACAGGCAGGACTAAGTGGGAAATACGGCTCCAGAGCCCACTCAGTTTGTCTAGGTCCATATGTTTGTAGGAATTGGGTGTGTTCGAGTTGGTGAACTTGACTTTCAGGAAGTCCCTCACTTTTTCTTCAATTTCCTTTAGGCTTAGACTGGTTTTAAGTGTCTCCTCCTCCAACAAGACAGTCAGGACTAAGGCTACGTCCTTGAAGGCGGCGTTCTCGTGGTCGCAGTACTTGTAGAAGATCAGTGTGGAGCCCGCGGGCAGGGACTCGAGGCGGTGCACCACCGCGGCCTTGTGGCCGTTCTGGAACCCGTCGCTCAGTTCCCTGTCCATCTCCAGCTTCACGGCATCGCTGTCCTGGGCAGCTCTGCCTGTCCCGTCGAACCGGATGGCAGGGACACTGCGGTAGGATGAATAGGCGTCAGCAATTTGCTCGCTCAGACACTTGAGCGCTTCTTCAGCATCGCGGGCAGCGGTGAGCAGCAAGATGGCAGGCTGAGGCCGCGGCTGGGAGCTGTTGAGATGCTTCTCCAGGAATGTCAGGCTCCTCTTCCACAGCTTCTCGTCTTGACCTTGGTACTTACTCATAAGTTGTTTCATCTGGTTCTGGAACTCTTGAACAGCAGCGGTTTCTACCTCAGGAGGGACAGAGTACCACTGCTGACCCACCACAAGGGCAAGAACAACCAGAGGTGGTATCAGCCACCACCACCACTTCATCCCGCAGACAGATGCATTTTTGGGTTGTCTAGTCACATCTGCTCGGGCAAAAAGAAATGACAGATACAAATATAAGTTTCTTAGATTCAAGGGCAAGTAACTTGTAAAACCAATAGTAAGCTTTATAACCATTAGACAAAAAAGGAATTTAAGGAAGGGACCTGATAATTTACTTTCTTAAATAATTTTGGAACTAATTATTTGGAACACCTGAAACTAATAACACTGTGTATTAACTGTAATTAAAAAATAAAAACATTTAAATTAAAAAATGAAAAAAACAATTTATTATGCTTTTTCAAAAATCTCATACCTACAGTTTTTAAGTTCCGTGTATAAACATGCATATGTCTCTTCAATGCTGAAAAGGTCTTAGAGGGAAAAGTGAAAAAACCACCGTGGAAAAAACCAGTGATGCCTCAGAAGGAATCTCAGGGCAGGGGCGCCACACTGTGCTGGTATGGTCCCTGTGCCCTTTACGGCCATGCAGTCAAGGTTATCAGTTCCACTTAAGCATGTCCTTCATAAAGCAGTTGAAATTACTTATTAAAACTCGACCCTTGAGCACAAATCTTAACACTCTGTGTGAAGAAACGGGAAGTGCACGCGAAGCACCTCTGACGCAGAGCACGGCACGATGGTGTCTCAGGAGAAGAACGCTCTGAGACTGAGCCGTGGGCCGAGCTAGTGCCTTTTCGTGAGGTTTTTCATTGAAACAAGTGACAAACTACGGTTAGCCAGACTTGCATATTTGATAGACATTTTCTTGAAAATAAAGTGATCCTGACAACTGACAACATTTGTTGCCAAATATGAAATTCAAGGTTTCCGGTGAAAATCAGGGTTGTGGAAATAACCCAGGGTTGTGGAAATCTGCCACTATCAGTTTGGAAGCTCCCAGTTCTTAGAGACTTTTGTCTTGAGCTTGGTGGTGGTACTAACAAATGTAATCTTTTTTATACTCTATTACAAATGTCTCAACATTTGGAAGAACTACGTAACTTAGTGAATCAGTATTTTCCAAGTGACCAGTGCATGATACTCTATCCAAAGCATGACGATGACCAGTGGATTTTAGAGAACACAAAAAGTTCATTGACGTGGCTTCAGATTTCAAATTTCTAACAACATTTAGAAACTGACACTTGTTGAGTTTGGGAGAGTATCAAAATAAGAATATCCACAATTATCTGAAACTATTAAAATTCTAAGTTTCTTTATAAAGCTGTATTTCCTGTAGAAGGAGTTATATCAAAATAATGTATTATAACAGACTAAATACAGAAGCAGTTATGAGAATCTAGCTCCATTTTATTAAGCCAGGCATTAAAGAGATTAGAAAAAATATAAAATGATCCATCAATTTTCTTACTAAATTATTTAAAAATAAAGTATTACAAAAACTTTTTTCAAGTTTCAATTTTAATTTTAGGTAAATATGGATATGTATAACTCCATATTACTTTTTCTAAACAAGATTAATTTCACTAGTGGAAAGTGTTACTGAGACCGAAAAGTCTGAGAATCACTGTTACATTATTTTCTTAGTACTCACTCAGGGTAATAAACAGGCTTGGAAAGTAACACTTTCCCCCAATGCTATAAAGAAGATAAGTGGTGCAATCTAATTCAAATACAGTGCTGTGCACTTTAAAACTGAAGGTAATTCCATTACGTATGCTCTGTGAGGACTTTTTTTTTTTTTTTGACTCAGCGAAGTCCACTCAGTTAATAGTATTAGTAACTTTAGTTATTAACTTTTACTTTCAGTCTCATGGACAATAAAATGAAGGGGAAAACCAGATGTCATTTCATATAGTTTATCCTTAAAGAATTTCACCGCTAGTAAAATATATACATATATACTTGTTCTGCTGAAGTGCTTAAAATATAATTCTTCAAACAGCATTAAGTTATTTTGCTGTCCAAAAAAAATGGAAAACAATCATGCATCACCAGTTTTAGAGACTCAATAAAAAGTAAACAAACTTACGTTGGCTGAAGGGTGATGGGGGCTGGTTTGCAGGCTTTGATTTCTGAATGCTGTTATCTAAGAATAAGAGTGATACAGACTGTCAGTATGTTTCACGACTTGAAGTTATTTCCAACAAAGAAAGAAAATACAAATTCCACCAAGAGAAAAAAAGGTGCAGCTCAGCTGGAAACAGAGAGAAGCAGAAGCTCCTGTTAGGATGGCAGCTCCCTGAGACAGAGCCCTGTTTCCCTGACAACCCCCGACTGCGTGCAGCCGTCCAGCACCGAGTACACCGAACACATCCGCGTTGTGGGGACGCCTTGAAGTGCCTGCCCCAAATTACCGCACGGGAGTCGTGAAATTAACAAACTCAAAGGAATACGCACAACTGTGATGATGGGAAACGCACACTTTCTGAAACAGCGACACGCACGACGCCTGCCTGGCGCCGACGCTGCCGGGAGGGAACAGAGGGCTCACGGGCTGTGGACGTGGAGCTGCCCAGGGGAGGGGCTCTGCTGGAAAGCTCCATCCCAACCCTGTTTTCTACCTCAAGACCGATTCGAAGGTTTCCCGGTGCTTCTGGCCACTTCAAATATGAGTAATTTTAAAAAATCACACTGGTGGGGGCTGGGCGGAAACAGTGCAGGGACTGAGAAGGGCAGGTTGGCAGGTACACGACAGCCCCGCCGTCGGGGACGTGAAGTTCGGCTGAGGAAGTATAAGCAGTAACGCTGTAGTAACTGTGTGTGGTGTCAGGTGGGCACTGAACGCATGAGGGATCACTTTGTAAGTTATATGGACATCTAACCACTAGCTCGTAGATCTGAAACTAATAAAATATTAAATGTTACCTATAACTGGAAAAAAAAGACAAAAATAAAAACTACATTAAAAAATGTTTCATCATTTCTGTTAATAGGCAAGTAAATCCATTTTAGGTTTGTGATTAAACAATAGGTTTCAAAAATAATTTTCTCACAATTTCATCAAATCTCTGCTTTGACCATTACTTTAGGAAACTAATTAAAAACTATCATAGCTCTTTTCTTTCTCCCTCCATCCTTCTTGGCTGTGCCACAGGTTTTAACATAGAAGAGAGACAGCTCAGAAGGCAGACAGGTGAAGTCACTCATTTGAATAACCCGCACTAACCAATGCTAACATCTACCACTTGTCTGGAGTTACAACTGTTACACCGATGAATGATCTTTCTGGTGAATCTTCCTGGTGTTTCTGAACAGCCTTCATCTGGGAAATGCTGAACAGAACTGGGTGAATAAAATCAGCACTGCCGAGGTTCAGAAACAGCCTTCTTTTCGGTCGTATGACAAAAAAACCTCAAATGTATCAAAATGACATCAACTTTAACTCTATTGGCATACTGTTTTACAATTATTAGTTGAGTCTAGTAAGCTACATCTTTTAGACATTTCTAAATTAGGTTACCGAACTTAAAAGTGCACTAAAAAAATCCAACAGATGATGTTTAGCTTGAACATCTCACACCATGTTTACAAAGATCAAATGAGATAGCTTGTATACTGGAAACTATAAAACACCAATGAAAGAAATTTAAAGTAGACAGAAGTAAATGGAAATACATCCCATGTTCATAAATTGAAGAATACTCTTTTTTTAAAGAAAGATTTTATTTATTTATTTTTAGAGAGAGGGGAAAAGAAGGAGAGAGGGAAACATCAGTGGGTAGTTGTATCTCGTGCGCCCCCTACTGGAAACCTGGAACACAACCCAGGCGTGTGCCCTGACTGGGAATCAAACTGGTGACCCTTCAGTTTGCAGGCTGGGACTCAATCCACTGAGCCAAACCATTTAGGGCTAATTGAAGAATATTCTTAAAATGTCCATACTACCCAAAGCAATCTACAGATTCAGTGCAGTCCTTATAAGAATTCCAATGGCATTTTTTTTTACAGAAATAAGAAACAATTCTAAAATTCGTATGGTGCCATCAAGACTCCAACTAGCCAAAGCAATTTTGAGTAAAAATGACAAAGCTGGAGGCATCACATTTCCTGATTTCAAAATATATCACAAAGCTAAAGTGATCAAAACAGGATGGTACAGACATAAAAACAGACACACAGACCAATGGAGGAGAAGAGAGCCCAGAAATAAGCCCACACAGACATGGCCAACTGATCTTAGACAAGGGTGCCAGACAAAGCAAGGTCTTAATAAGCGGTGTTTACAGAACTGGATACCCACGTGTTAAAAGAGTGAAACTGGACCCTTATCATATGCTGTCCACAAAAATCAACTCAAAATGGGTTAAAAACTTAAGAACCCAAACCATAAAACTCCCGGAAGAAACACAGAGAAAGAGCTTCCTGCTACTGACCTTGACAATGATTTCTTGGATATGACACCAAAAGCACAGGCAACAAAAGCAGAGATGGAACGTGAGGTTACATCAAACTAAAAAGCACAGCTACATGATCAAAGTCACCTCGCACCTGTTAGGATGGCTCTTACCAACAAAACACAAGAGTGAGGTATGTGAAGAGGATCTGGAGAAAAGAAAACTCTGTACACTGTTAGGGGGAATATAAATCAGTGCAGCCATTAGGAAAACTAGTGTGGAGGCCCCTCAAAAATTTAAAATGGAACTTCATATGGTCTAGCAATTCCACTTTTGGTACAGGAAATCGAGATCTTGAACCGGTAACTGCACACTCATGTTCACTGCAGTAATATTCACAATAGCCAAGATGGATGAACAGAGTAAACACACACAATGAAACACTATTCAACCTTTACAAAGGAAATGCTGTCACCTGCAACAATATGGAGGACACTCGGCTAAGTGAAACAAGCCAGACACACGGACAAATACTTCAGGATACCCCTTCTATGAGGAATCTAAAATACAATCTAATTCATAGAAGCAGAGAGTAGAAAGGTGGTTTCTGGGGACCGGGGAAGGAGGAAATGGAGGGGTATTAGTCATCTGGGTTGCAAAGTTTCAGTTACACTAGATGAGTAATTCCTGGAAATCTACTGTACAGCACAGTTAACAATAATGTATTCGATATGTAAAAATTTGCTAAGAGGGTTGATCTTTTTTTTTTTTTTTAAGAGGGTTGATACTATGTCTGTTCTTATCACACACAAAAAATAATGAAGTTGGGAAGAAACTTTTAGAAGTGATAGATGTTAATGGCATAGATTATGGTAATTGTTTCACAGATGTATACATATTTAATTTCCAAACTCATGAAGGTGTATGCATTAAGTGTATGTCAATCATACTGCAATAAATGGTTAAAAAATTTGAGAATAAGTAGAGGAACCAATAATGAAAGAGCACGTTAAGTAAAATATAATTGTCTTATTTTTTTTATTAAGAAAATATCCATCAAGATAATGTTTATCTTGACTACCTTACTCCATGGCTGCAAAGATGAAATCAGGAACAGATGAAAATGCTGTTAAGTGCTCCTCTGTGATCATTTTAATGAAGAATAGCTAAATAACAGTTATGTAAGATGAAATATTATGTAAGCTGTAAATACATAATTCCTAGAACACAAACTTAGCGAGCTATATACTGCTGAGGCAGGGCAGTGTGTAAAAGGCAATCTCTATCCTGCTTATTAAAAATATTATTAGGGACAGTCACAAAAATTCCTAAAAAAAACCAAAAACCCCACAAAACTCCCCCCAAAATCCCAAACAACTTTTTAAAAGATAAAGCTCAAGCTTTTTCAGTCTGAAGAGTATGGTAACTATCAATCATTCTACAAAAAAGCAGAGGGCACAAATCTTTCATAATTATTATCATTACACAATATATTTTTAACAATAAATAAACAGTAATTATTTATGTGGTATATAGAATTGAAAAATTGTGTTCACATATTTGGTAAGCCCATTAGAATAAACTGGTTATAGGCACTATTGCCCCTACTTAAAAGGTAGGAAAACTGAAGTTTACAAAAGTTAATTGACTTTACCAGGATCATTCAATTAGCTTGTAGGACAGCTGGGACTAGAACTCAAGAGCTCTAACCCCAAACTTTCCTCGTTTCTCTATAGTGCTTTTAGAGGCAGGTTTTTTTAGCAGGTTACGAAGCACGCATATTAATGAGACAAAGCCTCGGAATTCTGACCTCTCCACAGACATCCTTCCCTGTTCTCACTGCTTTATCACCTGGGAGAAAGGGAAAATCAAGACAGCAGCTCTATTCTTCCCAAAGCTGGGATGCAGGTTGAAACCTGACCTAGGACCGGTCTGTCTGGGGAACTGTGCTAACATGAGGTGACAATAAGGATCTGAAGTCCCAGGTTCTTGAACCCTAATCTGATAATGAATTTTTTTCTCAGTGAAATAGGCAAAAATGTATAGCGAAGACAATGAGACATGAAATTTGGAATGCTAAGAAAAATGTTTAAAAAATGGTATCGGATTGAAGAGGAATCTATAAGGCTGTTCAAAAATCACAGTAGTCTTCTACTATCACTGAAGAATGGTTTTCCTCTTCAGCGATCTTCGAGTCCTCGTGTGGTTAAGGGCTAAAATATTCTGTCATCTGCATTATTTTTTAAAATTGATTTTAGACAGAGAGAGAGGGGGGCGGGCATTGACCTGCTGTCCCACCAATCCATGCACCCATGGGCTGATATCTGCATGTGCCTCCACTGGGGACTGAACCTGCAGCCTTGGCGCACTGGGACGACACTCTAATCCACTGAGCCACCTGGCCAGGGTGCTATCTGCACCTCTATGTGCAAGCTTACAATGGCATATAATTTCCACGTAACTCTCAAAAGCCATATATACATACATAAAATATATAGCTATCAATCAGTACACAACTTAAACCATAATAAATATACTAACTTAAAACAAAGGAAGAATATAAACAGATAAATACAAAACAAAGCTATTTAAAAACAATTTAGCAACTAAAAGATCTATTTCTACATTCCAATCAGATCTTCAATGTAATTATTTCTCCCTTCTACACTGCATCTGCAGTATTTTATTGGACAAAATAAAAATTATACAGACCTTTCTTTTGAGCAACATGTCCACTTTATAAAGTCTCCTAGTTTTACTTTTTTTATTTAAAAAACTTTACACATTTTTGATAATACTGTATACTATACTTCACTTATCTGTTAATAATCTAGATTAATAATCTGGGTTAATTACCCAGAATATATAGTTAATTATTAAGAAATAACATGTGTCTTTGAGCTTTTCATAGAGCATACACTCAAGCTCATGCATTTTTATTTCCAAGGGCATCTGTCAGATCTTCAAAGTTACTTTTAATTTTTTTATCTTCTTATAATCCTGGTAAGATGAATAATTAGTATTTGTTTTCTAGATTCTAGTAGGACAGAATGAGCAAATTATAAGAGAAAATGGTCTTCTGGCAGCAGGTACACAAAGCAGTAAGAAATGACAGCCGACAATAAGGCAAGGGCAAAAGCTAAGCCAGCTTCGACAGCTGAAGAACTGAGGTGTAGGGGGGTAAAATCTGACTGCTGGGAAAAGTGAAGTGAGACCAGTACTCCTTTACTGATGGAGAGCAAAGCCACAGAGCTTATCTTGTCCAATTATAGTCGGTCTCATGAGGAAGAGATACACGATGGGGATTTTCACATCACCTAAATAAAAGGGGAGGCCCAGGCTGGGTGGCTCGGTTGGGTGGAATGCCACCCCAGTATGCCAAGGTTGCGGATCTGATCAAGTACAAGAGTCAACCAATGAATGCAAAAGTGAGTGGAAGAACAAATCAATGTTTCCCTCTCTCTAAAAATCAATAAATAAATACAAAGGGATACCTGATGCCTTGAGACCTACTGTGATCAGACGAGTAAAGAAGGGACAGACCTTAAGAGTCACTTGAGGCGTGTTTTTTTTTTTTTTTTTACAGTCAAGGTTTAACATAAACCCACTGGTACAGAAATTATGATGGACACTGAATGCAAAGTATGATTGTTTTATCACATCTATTTATGGTATTTCTTAAATTTTGTTGACTTCTAATCCATCCTAAACCTAAACATGAAAATACAATCTGTGGATTTCAGCCTTTATTACTTAAAATAATGGGTATGTAAAGCTGTTCCAAGTTTACCTATATAAAAGTAAACAAAGTCCAGTAAAAATAAAAACCTGGCACTGTTGGAAGAGTAGACGCTCACCAGCATACACAGACCGTGAGGCTGGTGCAGAGGACGGACAGCCTGTCGGGCCTGGACCCGCCCCCAATGCCTCGATCACACGGCTCCCGCACTGCACGCCTACTTCCTCCCCTGCCAGTCCAAGCGGACAGAAACAGCTGAACTAGGGATCACAGCTTCCTGTTATTCATGAAATCACAATCTATATGCTTATCTGAAGAACTCCACGTTTTATATGTTAAATAATCAAGAAAAACAGCAAATAAAATTATTTTAATAATGAGCAGAGATTTAGCAACTTACTTTGTATCCTTGACCTTATGTGGGGAGTTGGTTCAACCCATTCCAGAGATAATTTGTGAGATCTCGGGCCTGAAGGAAATACATATATCAAAATATAATTTAACATATTTTAAAAATGTATACCACACTCCAGTGTTAAATAATGTCAAAGGACTAAATCTTTACATCTGTGAGGATTAAAGATTTCCCAGCAAAATAGGTAGCAAACAAATATACAAGGGTGAGCAAAAGTAGGTTAGTAATAATAATAGTAAATAATACAATAGTAATTAATAACACAAGAATAAATTATTTCATGTACTCACAACTGTAAACCTACTTTTACCGACCCCTGTAAAATCACCTGAGAAACAAATCTGTACAAGTCCTTTGCTCTGGTCTGTGAGAATGACTGCCTTCAGGAACACTTGAACTTGATTTCAATGTTATTTAAGATGAAAAAATTGACCATTTACTCTTGCAAATAAATTAATTTCAGTAAAATAGTTCTGAACATATTTCCACATTGCTAACTACCACATGCAGTACCAATGTGTGGTGAGTTAAAAGGCAAAAAGGGAATAAAATGATTAAAATCCTGTTGGTACTTTTTGTTGGCAGAGTAAGACAAGTTTGAATTGGGTGACTGTTAAAGAACCACCCACCAACCACTTACTTAGCACTGAATATTGCTTATCCAGAGCTGTGAAGTCTCGACCTGAAACAGAAAACCAAGATAAGGTCAGAGAATACTTGGAACTAGATGCTTTGCTTGTTTAGTATGGATATTATAAATCAAAGAAACGAAACCAAAACCCTTTCTTTCGTCAGTCCCAAACATATACAATACATAATTGTTCCCCTTTTTCTAAACTTCACACTTTTAGAATTGAGTAAGCAGAAGTCAGCTTTAGGGTCAATACCATCAAAATGATGATGGACTATGCCGAATGTTTACCAGGTCAGTGCAATTTTACTTAATTCTCTCACTTTATGTGGTGAATACCACTATTATTCCTATTGTACAAATAAGGAAACTTAAATTATACATCTCAAAGTAGCATGCTGATACATAAACCTTGGCGTCTATGTGTAACACTGTGTAGAAATCCACAGAGGCAGATTTGTGGACACTACAGAGTTATGAAATAAAAGACACACGTTCTGGGGTGGTTTTAAGGACAACTGTAAAGTGATACAATGGAACTAGAAAATGGAATTACAGTTCTAACAGGTAGATTTCCAAATCTGTCCTGAAGAAAGGAGTTACTTCTATCTGTGGATATAAGTTTATTTTCAAGTTAATTTTTTTCTGAACACAAATGCAATATATGTTAGCTGTAAAAGAAATGTACCTTTCAAGAAAGGCGTAACTTAAAAATTCATAAATATCCCATTAAGTGTTTACTCTGTGCAAAACATTATATGTATAAATATCATGGTGAACAAAAGACATAATTTGTTCCACATTTATCTTCAGTCTATACTAACAAAATGCTTTTTCAAAAAAAAAAGACACATAACTTTTTATATTTCCTTTCATTGATTCTAACCCATTGTATGCAGGAAACGTATTTATACGTTTTACGTTGACTGGTAGCAGAGCGCGTGATAAAAACTACCCGCAAACAATGTGCTAAAAAGTTCTTTCTAAAAAAAGCACCTCAGATTTAGGGCTACGTAATCAACAAAATGTCACCATTTCACTGGATGCTTTTTCTTGCTCCATGATGCACAAAATCAGTGGTATCTTAGATTCAAGGAAATACACATTGATCACCTACGTTCATTAGTATACAGAATTAATTCATTTTCATAGCTAAACAGTATTCCAATGCATGACTGTAGCATGATTTAAATAGGAAGATACATTGAACAACTTCCAAAATCAAAGATTTAGAATAACAAAGGGCAAATATTTAAGTTGATTCACAGTATCTTTTTCACAAATGATTTTTGTTTCATCAGCTTATTCATTTTGTTACCTCTCAAGTTTTTAAGTCAGGAACCCAGAGCCTACTCAAAACTGACAGAAATGTACGTATCAAGTGGAATTCCATGAACACAGTGATTATAAAACATTTCCCACAGTCCCCCAGCTGGCAGCCACCACGAAGAAGGTGGCTACAGAAGACGTCAATGTTACTTCGAAAATCAACACATGATAAATGCATTTGCACAGAATACAAGTAGAATCACAGAGCTGAAGGAAGAAACAGATATAAAACAGAAACAACTCCAAACTTTAAAAGATGCTTGCGAGGACACCATGCCTGCAGATGATGATGGCTTAATGACACCTTACCAAATTGGTGATGCCTTCATTAGTCATGATCAAGAAGCAACACAAGCAATGTTAGGAGAAGCAAAGAAAAATTTCTAAGAAGAAACTGACACCTTAGGATTCAGAGTGGAATCAATTCAACAGGCGTTACCAGATTTGAAAGTCGAGCTATACACAAAATTTGGGACAAAATAAACCTTGAAGCTGATAAAAGTGAAATATTTTATAATATTTAAAATTTGTTTAATAAACCTGACTATTGGTCAAATGATAATTTCCCTTGAAGTGATATGGAGAGCAAAAATTTCTTTAAAAAAAATTTTTCCATTTAGCCCTGGCTAGTGTGGCTCAGTGGATTGAGTGCCAGCCTGTGAACCAAAGGGTCACTGGTTCAGTTCCCAGCCAGGGCACATGCCTGGGGTGCTGGCCACAACCCCAGTGGCGGGGTGTGTATGAGAGGCAACTGATGGATGTATCGCTCTTTCTCATCCCTTTCCCCTCTCTCTAAAAATAAATAAATTTTCATGTCTTGCTTATTTATTTTATATTATTAAAAGAACAGAGGATTCATTTATGTATTTAGCATAACAATTCTATCAAGTGTAGGGGCTTTATGTCATGTTAATAAAATTAGTAAAGCAATAAACAAACAAAATGAAACAAAAAAGAGAACAGATTTCTCAACACTTTTTCTCTTAAAATATCTCATAGTTTTAAAAAGGTGATGTGAAAAGAAAAACAGTCTTTGAAGATTTTATATATACAAGGATATTTTTTATCTATTAATAACTCAAATTCTGGGACTAGATTTAAAACTGTGAAAAAAGACCCTGGCTGGTGTGGCTCAGCTGGTTGGAGTGTCATTCTATAACCGAAGGGTTGCAGGTTTGATTCCTGGCCAGGGCACATACATAGGTTGCGGGTTCGATCCCCGATCCCCAGTCCAGGTGTGGGTACAACCAATCGATGCTTCTCTCTTGCATCGATGTTTTTCTCTCCCCCTTCCTCTCTCTCTAAAAGCAATGAAAACATGTCCATGGGTGAGGATAAAAAATTAAATCAAGGATAAAATTGTGAAAAGACAGTATCATTTTTGCTTAACCTAAAGGAAATACATATTAATTGCAGATAATCTGCAAAACACAGAAAAAAAACCAAAAGAAAAATGTCGCTAATGATTCTACTATCCTAAACAAATCATTATTAGCTTTTTAGCATATTACTTCCCAGTACTTGATTTTATTACGAAAATTTACAAAGTTGTAAGCAAGTCTATAAAACTTTTATATACCTACTATGTAGCTTACCACTAACTTTTTACTATACCTTATTTATACCTTCTTTATTCATCATTCCAAACTTTTGCAAGAGTTATACTGTTTATGCTTATTAGAATATATCTATATAAGTAGACTCAAACTATTACATTAGTTAATTAAAAAAATCAACAAATTTATATTGCAAGGAAGAATATTCAACAAATCATTGAAAGTTTTTTAAATTTTTTAAAATTCAAATTCAATATTGAATATAGAGATGATTAACTCAAGAAGCAAATTTAAGATGCAGAATGAGGCTTTTAAAACATTCACCATACCTCTTTTTCAACATTTTACATTAAACTTGCAAAACAGAATCTTTAAAAATGAGAACCGCATCGACCAAGCCCACAGGCAGGCTTCAGTGAGTGTAAAATATGGCCTTACTCTGTGGTGGCTGCCACAACGATTCAGAATGTTGACCGGATCTGCTGGTTTGATCTAAAAAATAAAAAATACATGGAGTGTGATACAGAGCACATTTGACCTTTTAAATACACATTTTAGAAAACTGTACTTGAACAACAATAAAAAAGTTTAAAAAATACACATTTTCCCAGAGAAAAAGGAGTAATCAAAAGAGTAAAAATATTCAGATAAACTCTAACTGAAAACTTGAATCCAGAGGTAAAAATATCTAAGTATATTAAAATTTCCAAAAATCTGGTGGAAAAATTTCACCCCCTCTGAGGGTGAGGTGGGGAGGGATGGGTGGGTGGGCTGGAATGGGAGTAAAGGACAGAAAACTGTACTTGAACAATGATTAAAATAAAATTTAAAAAAAAATTCCAAAAATCTAAGTAACACTCCTGATAGTATAGTGAGTACTAATAATGCCAATGTGATCAGTTTCCCTATCAAAATTTTTAAAAATTACAAAGAAGCCCTGGCTGGCATAGCTCAGTGGATTGAGTGCGGGCTGCCAACCACAGCATCGCAGGTTCGATTCCCAGTCAGGGCACATGCCTGCATTGCTGGCCACATCCCCAGTGGGAGCCACGTGAGAGGCAACCACACACTGATGTTTCTCTCTCTTTCTCCCTCCCTTACCCTCTCTAAAAATGAATAAATAAATAAATAAAATCTTAAAAAAAAAAAAAAAAAAGGACAGGCCAATTTCCAAATTTAAAAAAAAAATTAAAAAGAACTCTTCTTGTGAGCACAAAAACATTGTATCCCATAAACATCAAATCAGGCTAAAAAGTGACTTATTTGTTTAGGCATTACATTACATTATATTACTAATCAGATATACAAATGAAATCAGTAATTTTAATAAATATTTAAAAGTGTACAACTTTAGCCTTGGCTGGTGTAGCTCAGTGGATTGAGTGCTGGCTTGCAAACCAAAGGGTGGCCAGTTCGAATCCCAGTCAGGGCACCTGCCTGGTTTGTGGGCCTGGTCCCCAGTTAGGAGTGCGAGACAACAACCACACATTGATGTTTCTCTCCCTCTCTTTCTCCTTCCCTTCCCCTCTCTCTAAAAATAAATAAATAAAATCTTAAAAAAAAAAAAAAGAAAAGAATAAAAGTATACAACTTTAAAAGTTTTAATAAAATTTTTTAAAGAAGCAAATTCAAGCCCTGGCTGGCGTAGCTCAGTGGAATGAACTCGGGCTGCAAACCAAAGCATTGCAGGTTCGATTCCCAGTCAGGGCACATGCCTGCGTTGTAGGCCACGGCCCCCAGCAAGCGCGCATTGATGTTTCTTTCTCTCTCTCCCTCTCTCTATCTCTCTTTTTCCCTCCCTTCCCTCTCTAAAAATAAATAAAATCTAAAAAAAAAAAAAAGAATTAAAAGAAACATTAAAAAAATAAGCAGCAAATTCACAGAATACCTTTATATTGCGACTAAAAAGACAGCTCCTAAGACAAACATTGCATGTGTATAAAGCAATATTACCTCCAGAGGCAACAGAGTCCGTGGAGCTGACCTTAACAGTAGTGTGGGTGCTGTCACAGCTGTCTTGATCATTTTCTTCAGTGTCCCCTGAAAAGAAATCAATTAAGGATATGCCGGTAAACTCTTTATTCTAATGCTCTAAAGATCTGGATTAAAAAAGAAAAACAAGCAATTCAACATTAAAATAAATCTTAAAAAATGTATTTATTATTTATTTTGGGAAAGAGGAGGAGAGAGGGAGAGAAACATCAATGTGTCACTGCCTCTCATGCACCCCATACTGGGGAACCTGGCCTGCAACCCAGGCACGTGCCCTGACTAGGAATCAAACCAGCAACCCTTTGGTTCCCAGGCCAGTGCTCAATCCACTAAGCCACACCAGCCAGGGCTAAAATCAATCCTTTTAATTATCATATATACAATTGTGCTTTATTATGTTTACCATTCTGTGTCATAAAGTTTTAAATAAGCTAAATTAAGCTCATTTATTTTATGTTTTCTAAGGCATATAATTATATTCCAAACAAATTATATAAGATTTGTTTGGTTTATAAGATTATATTCTGTGGCTTTGAAATAAAGTAAAAAAAAATGAGTATCAAGTAGTGAAAAATCTTTATTGATTTTACCTTATTAGTGCATAAACTCAAAAATTAGTGCATGTACGCATACATGTCTGTATTTGCGCATGCGTGTGTTTGTGAAGGTTATACAGATGCCCAAACACAAACATTTCAGCCTGCAAATGACCAATTTCAGATTACGGTAGGCCTAAAAACGGACTAAATTGTACTGTACTATTCAAACACAGACTCATTATGAGAATTTGGAAAACGTTTAATAAAAATAATCAAAAGCCAGCACACGTCAGAAACTGAAAACACTCGCTTTGCTTAAAATTATTAGCTCAGACAACAGACACTTAAAATGCACATAAAGCCTATCAATGCTCATCCTATACTATTTCCTCTGTCCATGTGACAGTTCAGATAAGCATGAATATTTTTCCCTGAAGAAAAAAGACACTATTTTCTGTTCTCTTAAGTATCCATCAAGATTGCTTATAACATTAACAAAAAAGTAGAATGTACTGAATGACATTTTAAAAGAAAATACCTTCTTCAGAGAAACTGGACTTCTGTTGGACACTAGTGGCTTCTAGAAGAGAAAAGCATACATGGATGTGGCGTCAAACGCTAAAGCTTAGGTATAAATTAAGAGCATCTAAATTAGGGAACATGAAGATAAAGACACACTAAACTGTATTTTAGTTAAATCAAAAAGAGTCTAATATTTCCCTCCACACTCTAGGAAATAAGGCTGATAGGCACTACAATCTGAAGGTTGGTTTTTCCTCCAACCACAGGTCTATCTGTACTCTACAAAGTAACCTGTGTGCGCAACACTGAGTTCTATGCTGATAACTATATCAGTCCCTACAGGTGCTAGTTTAAAAAAACCCTGAAAGCTTCACGTCTGTTATCTGCTTCCCAGACTGGTACAAGAATAAACATACTTTTTAGATTACGGCTCAACCATACGAATTGGCTAAGGGTGTCTGGACTAACAAGTGATAAGGATGGACTTAAATACTGGCTCTTCTGATTTCTGGTCTACCACCCTTTTACTACTCCATTCATCCTGTTCATAGCTGCACATTGTAAGCACTCAAAAAAATTTTTTTAATTAAGGCTATTTTTTAGAGCAATTTAAGGTTCACAGCAATATGGAGTGGAGATGTCCCATACGCTCCCTGCTCCCACACCTGCGATCTCCCTACTATCAACGTCCCCACCAGAATGGCACATTTGTTAAAACTTATGAACACACATTAACAAATCACTGTCTCCCAAAGAACGGAATTTACACAGGTTCACTCTTGCTGGTGTTGATCTATGTATGCACTTAGACAAATGTGTGAGTACAGGTTTCCCTCACTATGATACCACACATTATTTCCACTGCCCTGAAAATCCTGCACTTCACTTCTTCATCCTCCCCCACGCCCGAAACCTTTGGCAACCACTGATCTTTCAAATACTATCTCAATAGTTTAGCCTTTCCTGGAATATCATGTAGTTGAAATCAAAAGTTTATATCCCTTCCAGATTAGTTTCTTCTACTTAGTAATGTGCATTTAAGGGTCCTCCAAGTCCTTTCATGGCTCATTTCTTTTCAGCATCGAATAATATGCCATTGTGTGGACACAGCGATTTGTTTATCCATTCATCCGCTGAAGGACATCTTGGCTACTTCCAAGTTTTGGCAATTATGAATTGTGCTGCTATAAATATCTGTGTGCAGATTTTTGTGAGGGCATCTTTTCAACTTCTCTGGGTACGTATCAGGGGATGTGACTGCTGGACCATATAGTAAGAATACGCTTAGTTTTCTAAGAAACTGGAAAGCCTCCTTCAGTGTGGTTGCACCAGGTGGCACTCCCACCAGCAATAAATACGAGCTTGCTCTTCCACATTCTCACCGGGGTTTAGCCTTGTCAGTGCTCTGCATCCCGGGCACTTGAACACGTGCATTGTGGTATCTAATTCTTGTTTTAAATTGCATTTTCCTGACGTCATGTGAAGTAGCTTTTCACATGCATATATTCACATGGGTTTTTGCCATCTGTATATCTTTTTGGTGAGGTGTCTGGCTAGGATCTTAGGCCCACTTTAAAATCAAAGTGTTTTCCTACTGTTGAGCTGTAAGAGGTCTTTGTATATTGCGATAATAGTCCTTTATCAGATGTCTTTTACAGAGCAGGAGTTTTTGACAAAGTTTACCTTATCAATGGTTTCTTTTATGACTTGTACCTTTGGTTTATAGAATGAAGTCACCATTATATCCAAGGTCATCTAGGTTTTTTCCTATGTTAACTTGTAGTTTTATAGTTTTGGGCTTACATTTAGGCCTGTCATCTAATTTTTATTTATTTGTTTTTTTATTGTTCAAGTAGTTAGCTGCCTCTCCCACCCCTCCTCCCCACACTGAGATAATTTCTGTGAAGGGGGTAAGGTCTGTGTCTAGATTCATTCTTTCGGCATGTGGATGTCCTGTTGTGCCAGCACCATTTGTCAAAAGGACTCCTTGCTCTATTACATTGTCTGTAGTCCTCTGTCAAAAAAATCAGCTGACTACATGCGGGTCTATTTATGGGCGCGTTATTCTGCTCCACTGATCTCTGTGTCTGTTCTTTTGACAACACCGCACCGTCTCGATCACTGTAGCTTCCCAGTAAGTCTTGAGTAGTGTCCGTCCACTCTGCTCTTCACATTCGACATTGTGCTGGCTGTTTCAGGTCTTTTGTCTCTCCACATAAACTTCAGAATGAGATTGTCAACAGTCACAAAATAACTTGCCAGGATTTTGATGGAATTGCATTGAGCCTATAGATTCAGTTGGAAAGAAATGACATCTTGACAATATTGAGTCTTTCTATCCAAGAAAAGGGAATATCTCCTCCATTTATTTAGTAGTTCTTTGATTTCATTAATTGGTTCTGTAGTTTTTCTCAAATCTTGAACACCTTTTATTAGATTTATGTAAATATTTCAATTAGGGGAATGCTGATAGTAATTGTATTTTGTTTGCAATTTCAAATTTCTCTTGAGGATTAGTCAAGATGGCGGAGGAGTACATGGAAGCTATACTAACCTCCTCCCAGGACCAACCTGGACTTACAACTAAATTGTAGAGAAATCATCCTGAATAACCAAATGAATGCTAGCTGGAGAGAAGCCTTATAACCAAGGACAGACAAAAAAACCCACTTCACCGCAAGGAGACTGGCAGAGCATGTGGAGAAGGCACAAGAGGTCTGGCTGGGCTGCCACAGTGGCCTTAAACGACATACTAGATCAAGTGGATTTAATTGATATCTCCAGAGCACTTCACCCTGAAGCAGCAAAATATACGTACTTTTCAAGTGCACATGGAACATTTTCTAGGATAGACCACATGTTAGGACATAAAACTAGTCTCAATAAATTTAAGAAGACTGAAATTATATCAACTATTTTCTCTGATCGCAATGCTATGAAACTACAAATCAATCACAAGAACACTGAAAAAACATGCAGAGACATGGAAACTAACATGTTGTTAAACGAGTGGGTCAACAAAAAGATCAAGGAAGAAATAAAAAGATGCTGAAACAAATGAAAATGAGGACACAGAGATCTAAAATCTGTGGGACACAAGGAAAGCAATCCTCAAAGGAAAATTCAGATTATGGGCCTATCTCAAAAAACAAGAAAAGATCAAATAAACAATCTCACTTCACACTCAAAAGGAACCTGAAAAAGAGCAACAAACAAACCCAAAGTGAGTTAAAGGAAGGACATAATAAAGATCGGAGCAGAAATAAATGAAATAGAGTCTAAAAAAATACAAAAGATCAATGAATCCAAGAGCTAATTCTTTGAAAAATAAACAAGATGGACAGACCTTTAACCAAACTCACCAAGAAAAGAAAAAAGGATAAAAACAAAACCAGAAATGAAAGAGGAGAAATAACAACTCACACCAAAGAAATACAAAGGATTGTAAGAAAATATTATGAATAACTATATGCCAACAAACTGGACAACTTGGACAAAAGGATAAATTCCTAAAAACATACAATCTTTCAAAACCAAATCAGGAAGATTCAGAGAAGCAGAATAGAGAGATTACACATGGTGAAATTGAAGCAGTAACAAAAACCCGTGACAAACAAAAGAGGAAACAAGCACATAAAATGGGCTAAAAATATTTTATTCAATAAATGGTGTGGGGAAAATTGGAGAGATACGTGCAGGAAAATGAAACCAGACCAACTCTTATACCACACACAAGAATAAGTTCAAAATGGATCAAGACTTAATGTCAGACCTGAAACCATAAAAATCCTGGAAGACACAGGCAGCAATATCTCGGACAATGCTTGCAGCAACATTTCATCAGATATGTCTCCCCAGGCAAGGGGAGAAAAAAATTAACAAATGGGCTACATCGAACTAAAAAGTTTTTGGCCCTGGCTGGTGTGGCTCAGTGGATTGAGTGCCAGTCTGTGAACCAAAAGATCACCTGTTCGATTTCCAGGCAGGGCATATGCCTAGGTTGCAGGCTAGGTCACCAGTTGGGGGCATGCGAGATGTAACCAGTGTCTCTCTCACACATAGGTATTTCTCTCCCTCTTCCTCCCTCCCTTCCCCTCTAAGAATAAAATAAAATCTTAAAAACAACAACTACATAAGTTTTTGCATAGCAAAGGAAGCCATCAACAAAATGAAAAGACAATGTACAGAATGGAAGAACATATTCACCAATACATATGATAAGGGTTAATATCCAAAATTTATAAAGAGCTTAACAAAACTCAACACCAAATAACCCAATTAAAAATGGGCAAAGGACATAGACACTTTACCAAAGAGGTCATACAGATGGTCAACAGACATACGAAAAGATGCTCAATGTCTCTAATCATCAGAGAAATGCAGATTAAAACCACGAAGAGATATCATCCCACACCTGTCAGAAAGGCTATCAATAAATCGGCAAACAAGTGCTGGAGAGGATGTGGAGAAAGGGGTACCCTTTTGCACTACTGGTGGGAATGCATACTGGTGTAGCCACTGTGGAAAGCAGTATGGAGATACCTCAAAAAATTAAAAATGGATCTGCCTTTTGACTCAGCAATCCCCCTTCTGGGGCTATATCAGAAGGAATCCAAAACACTAATTTGAAAGAACGTAAGCACCCCATGTTCATTTGCAGGGTTATTTACTATCACCAAGATATGGAAGCAGCCCAAGTGTCCATCAGTAGATGAGTGGATAAAGCAGCTATGGGACATTTACACAATAGACTACTACTCAGCAGTAAAAAACAACAAAAAACAAAAAAAAACACACACACAAAAAACACACAACTTTACCCTTTGTGACAGCGTAGATGGACCTGGAGAACATTATGCTAAGTGAAAGAAGCCAGTCAGAGAAAGACAAATACCGTAAGATTTCACTCATACGTGGCATCTAATGAATAAACTGAACTAACAAGGAAAATGGGGACAGACTCATAGGTGGAGAGCAGGCTGACAGCTAGTGCCGGGAAGGTGAGGGAGTGGAGGGATTGAGCAAAAAGGTAATAGGACTCATGGACACAGACAACAATGTAGTGATTGCTGCGGGGAGAAAGGTATAAGGGAACTAAATGGTAATGAAAAAATATAATAAAGATTAAATTTAAAAAACTCCCTTTGCTCATTATTGGTATATAGGAAAAATGATTTACTTTTGTATATTAACCTTGTTATTCTACAACCCTACTATAACTGCTTATTAGTTTCAGCAGTTCCTTGTTCATTCTTTTGGATTTGCTACATAGATGATCACCAGAAAAATGGACTCTGAATAGAGACAGTTTTACTACTTCTTCCTTCTCAATCTGTATACCTTCTATTTCCTTTTCATGTCTTATTGCATTAGCTTGAACTTCCAGCACAATGCTGAAAAGGGGTGGTTAGGGCATCCTTGCCTTGTACCTGATGTTACAAAGCTTTCAGTTTCTCACCACTAAGTCTGTTAGCGGTAGGGTTTTTTTGTGGTTTTAATCAAGCTGAGAGAATTCCCTTCTATTTCTAGTTTACTGAGAGTTTTTATAATGGACAGGTGTTGGAGTCTGTCAAATGCTTTCCCTGCATTTGTCCATTACCCATATAATTTTTCTTTAGCTTGCTGATGTTGATTAATTACATTAATTAATTTTTAATAATTTTTGTACTTCTTTTGGGTTCAGTATTTCTAGTTCTAGCATTTGGGCCAGACACTGACATAGCAGGTGGTTAAAAATAAACATTGCCCTGGCTGGATGGCTCAGTTGGCTAGAGCATCATCCCAATACACCAAGGTTGCAATCCCTGGTCCGGGCACATACAAAAATCAATCAACGAATGCATAAATAAGTGAAATAACAATCGATGTTTCTCTTTCTCCTCTTTCATCTCTCTCTTAAAAAAAAAAGTTTGTTTTAATGAATGAATAGATTTTAGGATCAGTGAATAAAAGCTTTTAAGTTAAGGCTTTAGGTCATATTTCCCAGACTCTAATAAAAAAATTACTTAGTAACTTAAGAAAAATCATCTGAAATCAGTGCTTAATAATTAGATTTCATACAAAGTTTTAAAAATTCCATGTTTTCACCTTTTTAACCTAAGCTGCAAAATATTTCCATGCAATCTGATAATGAATCAGCAGCATCTATGACTACTTAAGTTTTAATTTCATTTCCCTCTTTTGTTATTCAACTTCCTTTATTTTAAACTTCTTGGCTGTTACGTACACAAGTTTAAAACATTAAATAAAAAATATATATGCACACACACTAAATATATGCAGGGTGGGGCAAAAGTAGCTTCATGGTTGCTCATATGGAAAATACTACAATAATAATACAAGAATAAAATCTGTATTTCATGCATTCACTATTGTAAAGCTACTTTTGCCTCACACGTTGTGTGTGTGTGTGTGTGTGTTAGATAGATATTATTACTCTTCCCTGTGTTCATACAGAAGCTTTGATAAATTAAAATCCCATCTGGGGCAGTAATAGCCTTAATTTTAAAACCTTATTTTAGGAAATATAAAAGTTGTGGCTTTGACAAATCTGTAGACACAGGGCAATAACGAAATGTGCTGCTAAGCTGTCACTTTTCCGACCTCCTCAACCAGTCAGGAAAAGGTTTTGGAAGAGATCAGTTACAACCATCTCCTCTGGTGAAACCACCAATTGTAACCCTTTGTTCATCTTCTTTTGTATGATCCCAGTCTTTAAGGAAAACACAAAGTTCCAGGTACATTTCTACTACTATATAAACTTCCCTATTCCTAGAGATTTGTGGGATGTGTTCATGTGAGGAGTGGAGGGTACCTGAGCAAATAAAACTTTGCTTACCACGTGTTTTCTCTAGGGGGCAAAGATACAAGATTTCGTAAACGAGGTTGTCACCCTTTCTCAAGGAGGAGACTAGGTAGAACACAGGAGCCACCGTGCCTCCTGTCTGCTTGTGCCACCAGTACAACCTACTGTGGAGTATCACAGTAAATCCATGTCCAGTATGTACCTCTCGGAATTTACTCTTAGAACAAACAAATGACAATTTGGGTGATATGCTGTTTTTAGTCCTGCCATTGGCGTCAGTCAAGGGTTGGTAATCTTTTTCCATATAGTGCCACACAGCAAATATTTTAGGTTCCTGAGCCATGTAAGTTCTCTGTATTAAAAAAAAATAACAACTCTTTTTTTCAGTTTTTATAAATATATATATATGAGAAATAGATATTTCACAAAATGTAATGATTTTTTTTTTTTAGCTCATAGGCTGTATAAAAAAACAGGATTGCAGGTCAGATTTTACTCAGAATCAATAGTTTGCTGACTCCTGGTACTGACACCTTTAAGAATGGTACCTGCAAGATTATTTAATGCCAACCACGCTTCTGAAAAGTCAGAGTGAGACAGCAGGCAGAAGAGATTAAAGAATAGTTTGGGGGATATTACTAGTACTCAAACATCGCAAACAGCCCTTTGACATATTCTATTCTCTATACTAATCTCACAGAAATTTCCTTTAAACTGGAAAACGCTTGACTTAAAGTTAGCTTTTATTCTAAAATCCTAATAAAAATGATTTCTAACTCTGGCATAGAAAGTGAAAGTGCAGAATTATTTTATCTCCAAGTTCTCTTCCAATTAAGAGCCTGACTTGATCATCCCAATAAATTCATAAAAGAAAAAAAATTCCTCATACCAACACACCCCACAAATCTCTAGTTAAAGAAATAAAAGCTTAAAAAAAGAGTCTGACTTATAAGCTCTTTTTTTCCAGTTTGCAAACACAGCACTTGAGAAACCCTGGGGATGATAGAAGTACACTGGGTAGCTACGTGCTGCACGAATCACTTTCAGGACCCAGACACTGTAAATCCTGAAGTCTCTATAGAAATTAGCCTGAGCTTAAGTGAAAGATAAATTTAAAAAGAGCTGCAACTATTTATAAAGAAAAATGAAGCTTCCCTCCTTCTGATCCATTTCCAAATTTAGAAAAGAACTTTAACTTAAAACCTAGTCCAACCACAATCAATGTAGATTCACTTAAAGCCACAGATCTTGGTATTTCATGTCCTATACAAAAACAAAAACAACAAAACAAACCTCGCCCACCACTGAAAAGAATTTAAACCAGGTCAACAAACAAGACAAAGGACACCCAACTTACTATGAAAAACATCCCAAATTCACTTCATATTTCAAGAAAAACCTTAATTGGGAAGTTGTTATCTCCTTTCTCTCAACAGTGTAAATTTAACAAAGGCTAAATAAAACTAAAATATGCTTGTTCTTGCGTGCATTTTAACACCAGCGTTACAAAATAAGGCCTGGGTCGCTGGGACAGTGCTCCACTGCCCAGACAATGAACAAAGTGCCATTCTCAAACCAGTGACCGAAAGCGTGTCCTCCTGTATTCTGATTATCAGAATCCTCAGAAAGAACCTAGAAAAATGAGAAATTAACAAACCTAATTCGCTCATTTCAGTATTTCCATTTGTTTTGTATGCTGAATCTGCAAGAGAGATAGTGAGAAAGAGATTAGAGCTTGAAAGGAAATGCATCATATGGTTCTTTACCACAGGCTCATCATCAAAACCTTAGCAGATCTTTATCATTATAATACTTGATAGTTATAAAAAAAATCACCTAATTTTTTCTTACAGAATATGACTAAGAGGTAGAAATCTAATGTGGAGGTAAAGAAGCTTCCTTGTTAGTTCCCATAATAAAGCATACTTAGGGGCCAAAAAGCTCTGCAAGGGAAGTAGAAGTAGACTATTTGGAATGACTTTACTAGTTTTCTTTTGTAGTCATGAAATGAGTTTAAGGGTAACACCCTTTCAAGGTTTTAGACAAGAACAAATGTAACTGAGGCAGAGAAATTTCATGTGCTGAGCCACAAAGCCTCAGTACTGAATTTTTTATTAGCCTTATACTGGGAAGAATAAAAAGTCCCTGACCCTAGTTTAAAATTATCATGCGAACAAAGAAACACCTCTTAAAAAGGATGAGGAAGCCAGCCCTTTCTATACTTATATGAAAATGTCACCTCTGATGAGACAGGCTGGGTCTCATCAGAAGAGAGGGCTGGTTTTGACAAATTATTGAAGAGAGGGCGCAGGGAGCCTTTTCATGGTACATTTCATGGTGAATTCTGAACTACCGGAATACAGGGACTACTGTACAGAAGAACAAAACTGTATTTATAACAACATGAAACCCACCAACAAAGTAACTTCTTACCAGATCTTGCACTTCTCAGAGAGGGTCTGCGCAGGCTGATTGAAATATCTTCACTCATCACTAATGTGGGGGGGAAACATTCAAGAACATATAAAATAAGATACTCAATATACTAGATTTATTATACAATCATCTATTAATTAAAAAAAGGTTTCTCTGAGCTTTCCATTATGTTAAGTATAAGGATACACTTGTGAACTAGAGACAAGTTTCCTGCCATAAAAAATGTATTGACTTGAGGGAAAAATTAGTAGTTTTTCTCGGCAGACCATATTTGTATAAAAGGAAAGGAACACCAAACAAAACTCCCCTAAATTTCTCAATTAAAAATGAAAATCTGACACTGCTCACTTCAAATTAATATACTGAATGTCAATTGTAATTGAACATTTTTTTTTAATTAAAAAAGAACCAATTCCATTTGAGGTATACCCTTATTGTGGACTATTTACGCCATACTTTATTTCAGGGTTAACTCCCTGAGAGTTAATACATTCCCTCCAAGAATGTAAATTCTCATTTTAGGGTAAGACATTGACGTTGCCCAGGGCCTGTTTCAGACTATGGTTCAATGTCACAGGGTTAATGGGGAAGCCAATTTCAGTAAATGGAATGCTAATGTTAGCCTAGAAATCCAAGGTGTGCCTTGTCAAAGAGCCTCACACAACAATCTCAACCCCAATATATACCTAAACTTGGGTTGATTTCAGCTGTCTCTATGAAAAAGCATTATGTTTGGCTCTGCATGAGAAATGCAAAAAGCACACAGACCTGGCTATCATGGCCCCTCCATTACACTGACTGCCCACGTTTTTACAAAACCGATTTAGTGCAATTTCCCCTTTACAGCATCTAGAAGTCCTGAAAGGACCGTCATCAATTTGTTCAAAAAACACTCATTGAGCATGTCTTTGTACATCTTAAAGACAGAGATGCAGAAAAACATCTGAATTGATTTTGTGTAGCTCAAAAAAGGCAGAACTAATACCAAAAAGAAAAAGTTACAGCAAAGCACCTTTTATTTCAATATTAAAAATAAAACTATCAGTCTTATCTCCAAAACACAACAGACAGTGAGGGAGTAATTCCCATATCTTGAAGGTGATCAGTCCCTGAATGGGTGTGGACAAAGGGACACCCACACTGACAGAAGCTTTGAAGATTTAGGGATGACTTCCCTCAATCTTCCAGCTCTAAGATTCTATGAAACATCTCAGTTGCTGTCACTTCATACATCAGGTATTTAGGACATAAATAATTAGCCTTAAAAAGAAATCTGTTATTCCCACTACTACAACTACCATCCTCTTTTTCTGCTCTGTATTCCCACCCTTTTCGGGTTTAATCGGAAGCTAAAACTCAATCTTATCTATAGTCATCAATTACTATTTCAGTCCCCATCCTTTTCATTTAAGAAGCATTTCCTGTATACGCTGCTGCACACACAGCCTTATGTAAGATACTTGAAAAAGATAGTACCAGGAGGTATCAGAAGACCAATGATGTCGCTGTTTTACTAGGTTGTTTTAGAAACTGTCCTCTTGGTTTAGGTCTTCACTCTTAAGGGCATCTTTGGATAACTTTCTCTCAGAGCACCCCAGTGGCCCCATATACAATCAGAATATACAGTATTCCAAATACTAAGTTGCACTGAAAGTCTATGGTTCTGTAAGGAAGGGAAAGGGCCTATCCTTAATCTCGTACTTGAAACAGTCCTCTATCAAAGAGTGGCTCCTGTTTAGTAACTCCTCTGCTAGACAGACTTTACAAGCCTTTACTTAACAATTCCTTAAACTCTTTCTCCTTTCATGAAGAGGCATGAGATGGGAGCATGCCAAGTGCTAGATGGAGAAAAAAATTGTAAAGCACCTTTTAGAGTAAGAGAACCCTGAGTACCTCCAATCTACCAAAGACGCACTAACCTGATTTCTAGTTATATTGTACGCACAGCGTGCTAGCAACATAGTCCCGCGAATCTATGCTTGGGTTCCACCGAAGTGTCATCTACACTGAGAAATGTTTGCTTCTCGAGGAAAAGATATGTTTAAGCAAAATTTTATTAACTTCACATCTTTTGTAAAGTGCTATGAAAAGGAAAAAACAAACAAACCCTTGTATCTCTATGTCTTATTGTGCACAAAGTGATTCTGCATGTACTGTATCATTGCTGCAGTGGCCTTGTGAGTAAGGCACAGTAGTTCCATAGATAAAGCCTGAGGCTAAGGGTGGGCAAATCAACCAAGATCCAGGGGTCTTTCCACAGATTACGCAGCCATGTACCTCAGTATCAATCCTTAAATACAGGCCTAATGTGAACTTGAAAAGACCATTCAAGGCATTCTACTATATAGTATTTTTTAAATGGTCTATAGGCTGGTGCTCAATGGTCTTTGGTACATCAGTTCACTTAACTCCACCATTTTTATAAGTTTAACAAACGAGAAATTATTGCTTCTCCGGGAATAAAGGACATGCAATTAAATCTACTGTAAATACAATTTCAAGAATCTATTTTTTCCAAATGGTCTGGAAACTCTGGGTACAGCAGTGATTACTCAAAGCATTTTCTGTGACAGTTTATAATCCTAACACAGTCTAGGCTATTCAAGGAATTAAACATAAAGGGAACCGAACTTGAACCAGATAGGTTTTGTTCTAAATTGAGAGCAGAACAGTTGAAACTCTAAAGTGTAATCTTAGATGCAATGGGCAAGAAAATAAGTCAGGATCTGGGTTAAAAAAAAATCCTAGAATGATCACTTTCAAAAGCTATAATCATTTGTTATGGGAGTGTCCTAATATCAACAACAACAAAAAAAAGCCAACAAAATAAATGGAACTAAAACAAAAGATACTAAGCATTAATAACTGAAGTGAATTCTTTCCCCTGCTTTTACAAGCAGTTGAGTGTTTAAAGCTTAGACTATCAAATGCAGCCTACTTCCGCGTTACACTGATACCAGGAGATGCAAACACTTTCGGTAACACGTTCACAGCTCTGACACTGGGATGTAGCACAGTCGATGGTATGTTACAGTCTGGCAGCATCCCTTCCTTCCCGGTGGTGCATAAAACAAATGACGGTGTGTCTTAAGATGATATCTTAGATCCGACGAATGCAGGACCGAGCTCACAAAACTGACCATACCGTGTCATGATTTTACCACGGAGACCATCTAATCCACTCCATGGGAAAGGCAGATGAGGTAGTCTACCCCACCGAATCACTGGGTAGCTAATTACTACATGGGGGAGTGACAGTGAGGTACTTGGGGACAAGAAAAGGGCTTTGTGACAGTTGTGACTGATTTAACATATATGAAGGGGCTAATACTTAGGTACTTAAATACATACTATCTTTTCTTGACACACTGCTTAGTTCAATAAAATACTTATTATGAACATTCACTAAAACTCTGACTATGGTATGATCTGGGACTCCTGATGAGTCCCAGATCATACCATATCTGTACATAAAAAAAGCTGGCAGGTAAGGAAAAAAAAATGAAATCACTCATCTCACCTGTAGCCTCTCGTGTTCTCATCACATTATTCTTTAAGACTGTTTGGCTTAGAATGGTTTGCGGAGATGGTTCATTCTCTATAGAATAGATACGACAGTTGTTAAAATTCAGATACATGATCTGGGTAAAGATTACACACATTAACAGCAATACATGAGCAGAAATGCAAGTAATTAATTTCTTTAGAAATGTGAAATTAGGTTTATCAAACTTACAAATTTAACTAGTCAGAACTACTCTTAAGACAAAAAAAATAAACTATTCCTCACTCATGCTTTATAGCAAAGGTATATTACTTTAGAAAATTTAAAATATGGGCTAAAGCAGCAATTTTCAACTGGTGTGCCACAAGAATTTTTGAAACACGCAATACCTGACTATTTAATTAGGGGCACTGACCTCTTTTCCCTTAAATTGTCAAATAAAAAATGACAACAGCCAACACAATAACAGCCATCTGATGTGAATGAATCAAAGTTATACCTATTTTTTTGTCAGACTGGCAAAAAAATATATTATTATTTGGTGTGCTGCAGAATTTTGGTAATTAGTTTATGTGTGCCATGAGATCAAAAAGGTTGAAAATCACTGGGCTAGAGTGTCACAAATGATGTGGAAGAAAGCAGAAGAGTAAAAAATGTTTAGATCCTTCTAGATATATTAAAATAGAAGTAAAGCCTTTATGTGATAAAAAATTAACTTACATGAACTACAGTAGGCTCTGTGAAAGAGTCTGTACAATTTAACATATTTACTGTTAAAAATATGTGCAAAGCATTCTTCCAGATATTGAAGGAGACACAGAACATAAGTACTCAAGTATAACATGTTCCTTCAAATACATATGACAGGTCAGAAATGTTATAATCTTAAGAAATAAAACTACAGAGTGGGGTCTCCAAGACACATCATAATTAAAATGCCAAAGGTTAAAGAAAGAACCTTAAAAGCAGCAAGAGAAAAGCAGTTAGTTACCTACAGGGGAGTTCCCATAAGCTTGTCAGCTGATTTCTGAAAAGAAATGTTGCAGGCTAGAAGGGATAGGCAAGAAATATTAAAAGCCCTGAAGAGCAGGGACCTACCACTAAGAATGGTCTAACCAGCAAAACTATCATTTAGAATCGAGGGGCAGATAAAGACCTTCCCAGACAAACAAAACAAAACAAAACAAAAAAACCCCCCCACAACTAAAGGAGTTCATCATCACCAAACCATTATTATATGAAATGTTGGACTTATTTAAGAAAAAGAAGATCAAACTATGAACAACAATGGCAGAAAATACAAATCTGTCAACAACTGAATCTAAAAAGCAAACTAAAGAAAACAAAAAGAGAGTCAGAATCATGGATGCAGAGAGCGTTTTGATGGCTGCCAGATGGGAGGGGGGGGGGGGGAACTGGTGAAGAGGCGAGGGGATTAAGGAGTACAAATTGGTAGTTAGAGAATAGCCAGGGGGATGTCAAGTACAGTAGAGGAAGTGGTAACCTACACCCATGACCCACAGATGTGAAAAATGGTGGGGTATTTCCTGAAAGAGTGGGGGGAAAGTGCAGGGGGAAAGGGGGGGGGGCAAAGGGGGGGGGGAAATGAGGACAACTGTAATAGCATAATCAACAAAATATAATGTTAAAAAACAGGGTGGGGCAAGAGTAGATTTACAGTTGTGAGTATGCAAAACCCAGAGTTCATTCTTGTATTATGTATTAGTTACTGTATTGTTCTCCACACAAATAACTGTCTTGGGTGACTACACTCTATAGTAACTTACATATCTTTAATATAAAGTTTCCAAAGTCAATGCATCTTCAAATGTGTCAGCAAATGTGCAGTGTATTACTCAGCTCTAAGCCGAAAATCCGTGTCCTGTTCATATCCATCAATGGTTTTTGCAATCCCATTGTGATTCAAATCCCCTGGTTCTTACCTCATAGGTGCTTTACAGGCAGCTGACGGGAAACATCACTGTGACGGTTAGGTGGGGACTCGGGGGTGCAAGGTGGGAGAGGACGGATTAAGGGAGTTGATTCACCTGTGACTCCCGTAAAACTATACACCCACTTTGTCAGTATACTTTTGGCCCATTTAGATGAAAACTAATTAAGAATTTTGCTTTGTAGGGCTACTTAACCCCTGGGATTACACCGCGGGCCCCCAACGTGGCGAATTCTTGGCACAGACCACCACAGTTGAGAAAGATCAATCAGCCCAAGTCTATCAGGCACTGGGGGCTTCAAGTTCAGGATAACCGACGCCTCATTTCAGTGTTATGTATTTGGGTGGAGTCTCAAGTCAGTTCACCAATTACATTATCCCGCAAAACACCCACTCACAAATTTCCTCCCTCTCTCCCCACGTGGGATAGTGATGGAAAAAGGCTGGAAGGCTGGATTAGGATCATAATTCACAGCTGGGGAACGTTGGCCTGAGACTCAAAGGAGGAAATGGAAGCGGCTTTAGCAGCAAGTGTTACAGGACAGAGGAAGCCGAAATGAAACCGCCTGCCGCCTAACTCGCCGTCCCTGCAGGAAGAGGCAATCCTGACACCCCCTAAACGGAAGCCCGGGGATGCGCAGAGCCCCCGTAGCCCCCGGGCTCTGCTCATTGCTCCGCACGGCTGCCTTTCCAGTCCTCCCGCCTGTGCCTCTCTCCCACCTGCGGTCCAGGTGGACCCGACCAAGGGTCGTACTACTGTCCGGGCGTAGGAGCCACCCGAACCCCGGCAGGGATGATGTGGTCGCTACGGGGATTGCGGGAGCGTTACCTCCGTTATTCTCACCTTCTGAGGAATGAGAGTCCCGTAACCCTCTCCGGGCCATGACCGGCGATGGCTGTTGCAGAGGTTGCTGTGAGGACTGCTGCTCAAGGAGAGCAGCTCTTCGCGTCTTCATCTCACCCGCTTCCTGGAGCCGCGACTGCCTCCGCTGCCGAGACCGAAGATTGTAGGCGCTTTCTCTCACTTCCTCTTTTACAGAATGGGGCCGGAACTCTTCCATCGGGACTCGTTTTCCCATCGGGGACTTTACTTTGGCCACTTGGGGCTCCGAGCCACCGTACACTTCCGGCGGCTCTTCCGAAAACCTCACTTCCCGCCGGCCGTGGCGCCACGGCGAAGTAATTTCGTACGCAGGCGCGTCACTGCCGCCGCCATTTTGAGGGGCGAGCCGGCGCCTTCCCTCCCGCAGGGGGGGCCTGGGTGTGACGTACGCGGCCCAACTTATCACCGGCTCCGCCCTCCGCCCCTCGCCCGCCATAGTTGTTGTCGTAGCTTGAGTTTATCACGAAGGTGATTTGGGAGGGTCCTAGAGTCACTAACCGTTGGTAGCGATGGCTTTTCGGGGTTCTGGGCGGTGGTCGCGGTGGTCAGGGGGGCAGTTGAGAGTCGCTGGGGCTGCCGCCTCCGTCGTCGCTGCTGTGCTGCAAACCCGCCTCTGGGCCCATGGTGTGTCCGAGGGCTGTAGGAGAGGCTGTGTCTGCGCTGGGTCAGCTGCTGAGGGTCACTCCCGCCTCCTGGCTGAAGGCACCAAAGAGGAGGAGAAGAGGGAGGAAGGCGTCGCTGTCTTCGGCTTTGGGAGAGGGAGGGAGGGGACGGCGGAGAAGGGACAGCTGGCTGGGCAAATTGCGTGTCCTGAACCCAGCTGCTCGTGGCAACTGTTGCCCGCACGCCGGAGACGCCCGTGCCCGGCTCCCAGTGCCGAGTGTCTGGAAGGGCGGAGGGCGGCGGGGATGGAGACGTTTCCATCCCTAGACTGTGGCGCAGTTTCCCTGAAACCTTTTTGACCGGCTGCTCCCTTAGCCAAGGCTGGAAATGTTCCCAGCAAGAGCGATGTTGACAACAGTATTTTTGCAGGTGTCATCTTTTCTTGAGAACACTTGGGTTTCAGGCTGCTCATGAGAGCAGTTAAATTCCAAGTCACCTGTTGAGAGTGCACACAGTCGAAACTGCAGGCACACTCGGGTGGCTTCACACTCGGGAAACGTACGCACAGCAAAAGTGGTCCTTCCTGGCTTTTGTATGAAAGCTGTATTCCATCGTCACTCTTCCGGAACCTTATTATTGCTGTATTATGGACAAGGAGAAATGAACAAATACGTAATTAAAGACATAATTTTACGTTGTGATCCGTTATTTTTACTTTGATTCTGGGCATGACTTAATGTGCTGCATTTGATGTTAGGGTTTCCTGCGTTTAGTTTGCTGAATAGGAAGGCATGGATTTGTTTCATATCCGTACACCATACTTACTGATGCAGAGAACCTGCAAATATCTAACATAGCTTACAGACACTGAAGGAAGGGGAATTTAGTGTCAAGTCTGAATACTGAAAGATTGTTACCTTCAAAATATACACTTAGTCTTGTAATTGATTTTTATGAAGATATTTTTAAAATTGTAATTAGGATACAAATTACAATGATTTCAAAGTTTTGAAGGTATTGGTTATTTCAAGTATTTTAAATCATTGTAGAATGCTTCTAAGCAACTCATTTGTTCAAACAGCACAAATTTCAATTTAATGAAATCTTAACAGGTTTTGTGTTTTCACTGATAGGCCATATATTTGGCCACATACACAAGGAATTACATGCTTTACAGAGTCACCTAGGTTTTTGTTTGTTTAGTTTACTGTGTACAATATAGCCAAAGAAACTGGAGGAACAGTCACACGGAAAGGCTACTTAAAAAAAAGAGGAAAAGAAACCTTTTAATGGAAAATTAAAAGCATAGTCTCTTCAGGCTGGGTTAGATAGTATGTTTGGAAAATTTGTAGGGCTTTTTTTCTGACAAATGCTGAAAAGTGTTGGTACTTAGTTAATACCTGTTTTTTATTTAAGTAATGCTCTATAAGGTGCCTATTATATTACTCATTATGATATAGTATAAGCACTGTAATATAACTATTAAAGGATATAAAACTATGGTGTTAATATACAACATTCTTTTATGAACATCAATGCATATATTAAACACCTCTTGAATACATTTACCAGGACAGTGACTTCTGGGTATAGGCTTATAAAACTTAGGTCTGGGGAAATATCGAAAAGAGAAGGGACAAGAGGTTCTACATATTATCGACTAATCAGTACATGTGTTATTTCATCATTAAAAATGCTTGTAAAAGCCCTGGCTGGCATAGCTCAGTGGATTGAGCTTGGGCTTCGAACCAAACTATCGCAGGTTCGATTCCCAGTCGGTTTCAGGCCATGACCCCAGCAACCGCACATTGATGTTTCTCTCTCTCTTTCTTCCTCCCTTCCCTCTCTAAAAAATAAGTAAATAAATAAAATCTTTAAAAAAAAGTTCTTTATTAAAAAAAATGCTTGTAAAGCTTAGGAATGGCTTCCCAAAGAAACGAATCATGGGAATCAAAAGTAAAATCAGAGGCATGGTAACTTTAACACATATTTGCTTAGGATTTTCCCCATTTCATCTTCAGTAATAAGAATACATAACCCTAGCTCTGCCATACCTGCCCCTCTCACCTAGCAACCCCTACAAATACTACCTTTCATTGTAACTGTGAGAGAAAGCTAGGCAAATCACATATTCTGCCAGGGATGTTTCCCAAACTACAGGTGTGTCCAAAACAGGTGGCATCACAGAGACAGTAGATTCATCGCCAATATTGTAAGGGGATTGCTGGGCCACCAACAGGAGACATGAGCTCTGGATGTTGGGCAATTGCTTTGGGAATTTGAAATATGTAGAGTAATTCACTGAATCGAAGAAGACAGGTAAGGAAAGAATGATTATAACAATATACAGGGGTGTGCAAAAGTAGGTTTTCTGTTGTTTGTATGGGAAGACATTTAGGTTGTGATTATTACAACAGCTTTATTAACTCAAAAGAATGTCATGCTGGCACACTGCACTTAGGTACAACCTTGTGAGTGCTCAAATTGCTCACCCTCATTATTTACATATTCTTGTAGTCTTTGAAAATCAGTAGACAAAACCTGCTCAGTGGGGTTAGCCCTACTGCCTCCTGGGGTGGTTGAATTCAAACCTACTCTTGCCCACCCCTGTACTCATTAATTCATATAGTTATTAAACATTAATTAAATTAATGAGTGTATTCTTTATCCGTAGGGTATTAGGGAAGACAGGTATACAAAAATTATAATTCAGATTAAATGACCACATTAATATGTTCTTCCCATTTTTCAGGTTTCACATTTATAAAATTAATAGATCCATATAGTAGCTGTTTTTATTCATCATTTGCTACTATCATTTAGCAGACACCGTTACTACATAAGCTCTTTTACAACAACCCCACTGGACGGGAGCAAACCGAGCTTGGCCACACGCACCTCGAAACGGTAGAGGCCAGGTTCAAGTCCTCTGACTGGTGCTGGCCCCTATCATTGGGTGGAGCCTCTCAGTGTGTTGGTTCCATGGGTTCTTGCAGCCTATGAATTAGGGGGTCATTGCAAGAGTTAGGGTCCTCTTGCAGAGATGCCCGCCTTGCCTGTCTGTCATACAGCAGCACGAGAAGGCAGGGACGTCTGTACTTCTGTTGCGCGCACTCACCACAGCCTGGCGCTGGCGGCTCGCTGGGCAGTGGAGAAGAGGGGGCGGGGGGCGGGGGGGGCGGGGGGGGCGGGGGGGGGGCGGGGGGTAAACTGAGGGGGCGGGGCAGAGCGACTACCAGTCCCAGCATTCCGCGGGCGCCTCCCCTACCCGCAGAGGTCATCGTCACGTGGACAGGCGACATTCTCTTCGGCCGGCGTACGAGGGGGTACTGCCTGCTTTCGTGGTCCAGAGCGCTGGAAGTGTTCCCCTGACATTCACCGTGGTTGATCTAAAACTCTGCTGGAATTTGTAAGTACATGAAATCTGTATACAACTTTTCCATGTTTTAATATTTGATCTGATATATTTTTGAAAAATCTTTCGGAAACGATCTCTCCCCACCCCCACCTGCCTACTGCAAAAACCTTAAAACGAAGCAGGTAGGGGGTATTTTTGTTTTGGAGTAAAAAGAGAGAAGCAAAGAAAGAGAAAGAATCGTGTAAATATTACATAGGGTAAGGTGGGGTTAAATGTTTGGTTTGGACTTTGAGACGAGGAGCAGAATTCCTATGAGGCTGAAAGTGTAAACGGGAAATTTACCTGTGCCGGGCGGCTACTCCCTTTACTTTCGTACCTAACAAGAGCCCATCTTTTGTCTTAATTCCTGTTAGATAGTAACCCCCACTCACTTTTTGTAATCTTAATGGCACTAAAAAGGGCAAAGTTTGACGTTTTAGTGAGACCCTATAATTACCATTTTGTTTACATATTTGTCTTCCCACTTGTCTTTCATAGCCGATGAAAAAGTTTACCCTCTTTTTCTCTCCCTCAGGAAAGTGTTTAGCACCTCCTATTCTATCAGTAGTGCGTAACTGCTAGACTTCACACTGAAACGCCGAAATGAGTTATCTCACCCTGATGCAACCTACTGGTTTTGCTTTCCGTTTTGACTGTCTTTAGGTTTTTAAAACATTTTATTTAGAAAATCGTTTAATTTAAAAAAGAACTTTATGGTGGAAGAACTTCATGGTAGAACTAAAAATGTTCTTGAAAAACCTTGTGTGGATTAGAAATTGACTTGCTGTGAAAACTTTGAACGCCTCTTCCCAGCAGTGTTTATTACGCTGAATGCAGAGTCCGTAACTTGATAACCAGTTTTGCTGATAGCATATCACGAAACCATGAGTGACTCATTCTAGTTCTATTTCACTTAGTTTCCCTCCTAGCATAGAGACGGTAATACTAGGCCAAGAGTTTCTATAATTCACAAATAAAGTAACGTAAGAATTTAGGTAATTATTTGAGGATTACAGGATGTTTTAATAATGTGTCTTGTATATAAAATTTATTTTTTGCCTAAGAGGTTATTTTAAATGGTATTCTTTGGAAATTCACATTTCTCTGAGCCACCTGAGTTTTTGGGAGGAAAGTGTGCTCAGAGAAGTCTTGTTTGCTTTATGCTGTCTTTCATTTTTCAGGTAGAATTGTAACTGTATTAAAATTTTATTACTATTCCAGATCTTATGACTGCTGCTGTGTCCCACAAGAGATAATTCCATATAGTGATTATACTTTACCCTCACTTTGGCACAGCCAATCCAGCATTTGCAAACAAAGAAGCATGTCCCCAACATGCTTCTGAGCTTAGACTTTGGAGTCAGAGCTGAGTTGAATTCCTGTTCTATCAACTGTGTGACCTGGGCAGGCTGCTTTATCACTGAGTCCATTTCCTCATCTGTAAAGTGGAGATAGGCAGGGTTGTTTGGAATACTAAGTGGGATAGCATAGACTCAATAAATGGATGATATTATTACTAATTGGGCTACTTTGCTCTTTACTACTATTATATTAAAGGAGTTGTTGGTGCATGATTTTGATAAAACAGAATGGAAGAAAATGCACCCATAATTCCACTACCTCAACAGATCAAATTGTTTTAATTTTTTATATTTTCCTTAGCCCTTGACCATAGGAATACCTGATATCAATCTCATAACATTTTTTTAAAACAATTTTACAAAAAGTGGAATTTAAAACATTGGTTTGTTAACTTCTGAGGGTTTTGTCCTATTTATATAAATAGAGCTCTCTGGTCCTGTACTTTATTCTAACCTGCCAGAGAAGATAGAGTGGGACTTTCCTTTGGCACAATTTTCCCTGCTTTCCCCATTCCAAAAAACAAAACCTCTAGATGCACTTTTATTTAATAATTCAAACAATAATAAGGCTTCTGAGGACTTCTTTTGTGCCCCATAGCTGTGAGTCCTGCACACGCTTTCTGTAACCTTCACAGTGCCTCTCCCACCCGGGCAGCCATTCCATCTCGGGGAGGAGGGAGAAAACCGAGGCAGAGAGAAGAGCTCGGCAGGCCGCGTGCTGGAGCAGGCCGGTCCGGCCCAGGCAGCCCGACTTCAGAGGCCAGTGCTGCAAGGGGCTGGATGTGTGCAGCCACCATGTGGCTGTTAGGTCACACGTGTATAGGCAGGAGTTGATGGGCACTGACTTACAACCTTCGTGTGAAAGTGACAGGATTTGTACTTTGTAACTACCATGTGGCCACCACATTTAAAAACATAATAGGAAAATAAGAACAGGTAAGTGTTTAGTATCTTAACAAATGAGGCATTCACCTATAGTTTTATTAGTTGTGGCAGTAAAAATATGATTTATACCCAAGTCATGAAGACTAATTTTTCCCTTTTTTATGAGGGATATACATAGCAAAGTGAATACAGGGTTTATAGTGAAGGAAAACTAGCTTTCCCTCGTTAAAACAGCGCATCATAAACCATCTGGTGAGTCTGTTAACCTGCTAAAATGCAAACTCCTGTACCAGACCTTCAGAGATTCTGGTCTAGTGGATCTGGGGTGGGGCCCAAGAACTTATATTTCTAACCAGCTCCCAAGTAATGCTCATGATTTCTAGCCAATGATTTAATAAGGAAGCAAATATTGGTGGTGGCTGTCCAAGCTCTGGGCCCGAGGGTAAGAACACAGCACAGTGTTCGTAGTTTTTAAACTCGACCTTCCCACGAAAGGAGGCAGGAGTTTTCTGGAGTAGTTGATTCCAGGGCTTGAGGCAGAGAAAACACAAGATCAGACTGGAGCACCTTGTGGTGCTTGAAATTAAGAAAATGCTCACAAAAAGTTTGGGGCTTGCTGGAACAATTTGAGTGACAAGATGAAAATGATAGTGGGGGATTTTAATGCATAGAATAAAGTAAAATAAGTATCCATGAGTCCAGGCTAACATAGTGGATTAAACGGAGAAGGCACAACACTTTCTTACAAAAGAATCCCAATGAATAAACATGGAAAGCAGGAAATAGAAACTCACCATTAGGCAAACAATACTGTAGTAATTACTGTGGGACAAATATGCCTGTGAGACTAGTGGGTCAAAGTTTGAGGACAATCAGGATATTTGCTTAGTCTCAAAAGTATGTCCCCCAAGATAATTATTAGGTAGAAAGGAAAAATGTAACTTAACAGTTGGAGATACCATGTTAGCAACCTATTGAGGCTCACATCACCAGTGAGCGCCAGGAACCCAGCGAGAAGATGCAGCTAGAAGGACGTGTCATCATTTCTGTGGTGTTATTCTTGTCAAAAATGCATAACCTTGTTTCTGAACATGAGGAAACATTGTACAAACCCAGAGTGAGGGATGTTCTACAAAATAACTGGCCAGTGCTTTCAAACGTGTCCAGGTCACACACCCCAGGGAAGGCCACCAAAGACAGTAAAATTGGAGAAACTCACATTGCAGATTCAGGAGAATTAACAACTAAATGGAATGCGGGGTTGGACCCTGGAACAAAAGTGGGACATTAGTGGAGAAATAGGTAAAATTTGAACAGTCTGTAGTTTAGTTAGTTGTACCATTCTATCAATGTTACTTTCTTGTGTTTTTATAATTGTACTGAAATTTAATGAAATGTTGACTTTAGGAGAAACTGGATAAAGGTATAGGGGAACTCTGCATATTTTTGCAGCTTTTGAAATCACAGTCATGTGCCACTTAACGACAGGGACATGTTCTGAGCAGTTACGCCATTAGGTGATTGTGTCGTGCAGACATCACAGAGCACACTTACACGATGCAGCCCACAGCACACCCAGGCTGCATGGTGTATACAGCCTGTTACTTCTAGGCTGCAAGCCTGTGTAGCATGTTTCTGCACTAAACAGCCTGAGATTAAATCAAACACAATAAATCATGATGCAGTCAAGAGTCTTGATAAAGACGAGATGTTTTACAGCAAACATTTCTTTATAAGTAGAAAGAGTGCACTCTGAGAAGAAGATACAAAAGGGTAGTATAGTAAACACAAACCAGTAACATAGTATTATGTACTGTACATAACTCTGTGCTTTGCTTTTATACAAGTGGCAGTGCAGTCGGTTTACACCAGCATCACCACAGACACAGGACTAATGTTTTGGGCTGCAGTGTCTACAGGGCCAGTGGGTGATAGGGATTTTTCAGCTCTATTACAGCCTTATGGGACCACAGGCCTATATGTGGTCCTATGCACAGTCCGTCGTTGACCTCATCACGTGGCACATGGCTGTAGTTCAAACTAAAACGTTTAATAAAAGTGTGTTGGCGTGATGTGGACACTAAAGGTGGTTGGGGGAGCTGAGCTGAAACTGGGCATCAGTTAGGCTTCCCACTGTGGAAAATCTTAGCAGACTCTTTGATCCCTTGTGTGCTGCTTTTTGCCTCTGCTGGTCGACCTAGACCTGAGATCCGAGTCAGGGGAGCTGGGAGAGAGTAAGAAGGGAAGGAAGGGAAAGAAGACTTTCTGTGCTCGGGAAATATGTACAGTGTCTGGAAAATTGTGAAAATAATACTACTGGCATAGTGTAACAGTGGGTATGGTGAGAGGAAGCGGGCAAGACTTAGAAACTAGTTTTAAACACAGACACAAAGAGCTGGTACATGTACAGAAAAACCTAAACTTGGCACGAGGTCTCCCTATGTAAAACTGCATATTAACACAAGGTTTAGCAGCCCGTGTTTTAAATCGGAGCTGTAGACAGAATTTGAACCCTGGACTGTTAGTCCTTTAGGGCAAGGCAGATGGCAGTGCACGAACGCATTTCGAAGCCAGCATTCCCCTTTATGGTATGCTAGCAATGCGCGCACACACCTGTTTGGTCAGTTCTTGGGGTGAGGGGAGAACATTCTGCAGCTGTTGCCTAAGCCAGGATCGTATTTTTCGTTTGGCTTATCTGTCCTTTTGTAAGAGGGAACAGTGTGTGTACTAGATGCTGCTGAAGATTGTCATCTGGGGCCCTCTCCC